CACTTCCAATTTGTTTTTCCATCTTCCAGCTTCCTCCTCTCAAGCCGGCTCACACTAGTCCCTCAGCCAAAACACGAAGGTCCTGTCGAGTCCATCCACAACTCTCCATAAATCAAAGGTAGTCGGACTTCATTACATTCAGAGGCTGAGGTACAATCTTTTTTTTGCTCTTTTTTTATCATTTTTTGTGTAACTAGTATTTTTTGTGTTTCTGTTATTTTATCCATCATCTGTTAGAATATAATGGGTTTCTCTTCCGCAAGTTTTTAGATATTGGGTTTCTCCAATTATTTGAATTGGTTAATGTAGCTTATGGCTGTGTTTAAGGTCTCTGCTTCATATGGCAACGGGGTTATGTTTCTAAATCAAGGCTGTGACTTCACTGCAGGTAGATTCATTGTTTACTGTGAATTCGTTTTAAATTTTTTATGTGTCCCAATATATTTAGCCTTTTTTCCCAATTGTTTTTGGAGTTTTATAATGTTTCTTAGGTGGGATTTTGGGGTGGCAAGTAACAACCTTTAGACACACTGCTAGAGATCGTTAAACCAAATAAAATACAATGCAGCTTGCAAAGTCCTATCATTTAAATGGTGTTTGCCTCCAACTTCTGGGGCAAAATAGACAAAGAAGTTTTGTTGAAACTGTGTGCTGGTTTTCAAGCTAGTGGTATAAACAATTGTAGCTGTATATAATATAAAATGAAATGGACTGAGAAATTCTCTTGAAATTCTTTGCTGTTCTTTGTGCTAGTGGTATCTGAATATCTTCTATGTGTCCAATCCTAGCTGTGCTGTTTTAGAATTTTACCACGTTTTCTTAGAGTTTTGGCAGATTTTAGTTTTTGTTATTTAAGACAATTAATCTCTTTGTTGCTAATTGTGGCTTTCCTTCTTCATGGGGTTGTTCTCTTACTCATCTTTTATGTCATCTTTTGCCTGTGATTGTTCCTTGCCAGTGTCAACTAGTGAGTTTGAAGGTAGCTGTGTAGTCCAAAAGAAGCATCTTGAGTTTATTAGAAACTTTTAAATGGAAGATATCAATCTGTCAACAGTCCTAGAAGAGTTCTTAGTTATTCAAAAAGGAGAGCAACTGTGTTGTTTGTGAATCCTGATGACAAGGCTTCTGGGTTTAGATTGTCAGGGAAGCATGGTCCTAAGCCTTCTGAAGTTTATGGGTTTGTAGGGTCACTTACAACAGTTATTGCAACAGGTCGTGTATCATTCTAATTACTTGTTTCCAAGATTTCACTGAGTGAACTTGCAGCTGCAATATGTAAATTCCATTGCATGCTGTGCCTTATTTGTAAACTTAATGATTTGATAACAATGTTTTTAACAGGCTTTTCCTTTTTCTTAACTAGTTTGCATTAACCTTTCATGATTCTATAATCCAGTTACTCATAGTTCATGCATCGTAAATTAGGCACATTCCTGTTTCTATTGTGGAAAAATTAGATGTAGGTTACTCCATGCTTTAAGCAAGTTAGCCGTGGCTTTCATCTATGATTTAGGGTTTGGGAAGTATTTAGTGTTTTCAGAAGTACAGTGACTATGTTTCTAGGCTATGGTTATGACGCATTCTTGTCTTTGCTGGTATTTGTAGTATGCTTGGACATTCTTGTTCAGCAGTAAATATCTATAAATTATCCAAGATTTTTCTCACATGGAGGCACTATACATCATGCTATCGTTGCATTGTTATTTTATTTGCCTACAGCCTTGGATCCACTATATTCTAATTTTGTTTACACCGATTGGTGCTTACCCATTTAAAAACTAAATTCCTGTTGTAGAGGTGTCTTGGGAAGTATAAATATCTGGCATATATCTATTGTTCTTTGTTACAGTTATTTTCTTGGTATGGGCATATGTTCCTGAACGTTGGTTACATTCAGTTGGGATCATTTATTATTCTTGCAGGTAACTTTTTACTATGTGCTAAAAATGTTGAACTTTGGTTTCTCCTAGAATTTTATCTGTCACATACACTTCTTTTTTTCAATAACATTGGGAAAAATAAGTCTGCCATATCCAGGGTTTTTGATTAAGCCCCAGTCTTTGTTCATATGGAGGTTTAGGCTTTGAGGGATAAGAAGAAATGAAACAGCAAGGGTGATGAAGAAATAGACTATTAGCCTCAGTGTCCAAGGCTATCTCTCTCTTCCTCTTTTGGCCATTAAGTGTTGGCAGTCACCTTATGAAGATGTTACACCCTTAATTCAAGATAAAAAGCTTGCTAGAAATAAATTATGAATTATGCCCTCTTTTATTTCTATTAAACTAGTGTATTAGATAGGCTCCAGAGAGCTCCTTTGTTGTTATATCTATTCCTTAGAACATTAGGTTTTGTGCTCCAACATAGACAGGAAAGGAAGTGTAAGCTTTGACCAGAAAATGCACCTGTAAACTAATTGCAATTGCACATACAGATTTAACTTAATCAAACCATGACCAGATGGATATAAGAGCCAAATTCAAACAAATCTCATATTTACTAAACTAGCTCGACTTTGCAAGGTCTTGAATGCACCTTAAACTTATCTAGAGGTCCTTTGTGCAATCATTAAGACATTGGGTTTCTTGAGTAGAAGAAACTGAAACTCAGTCCTCTCTTTTTTTTGTCTAGAGTTAAGCTTGATGATAAAATTAGGATTCTTCCGGGTGAAATTTTAGGCTGACAAAGGGGTTCTTAAAAAGGATTTAGGTGACTCATTTTGACTATTTCTATCTGTTATGCCATTGCAGAAGGTGAAGTTGTAATTAATTTGGATCAGACATTGTTATTTGGAATGGAAATGATGAGTAATCTTCAAGAATCTTATATGTCTAGACATGGGGGAAAAAGGTTTGGAAACTTTAGGTTTCTTAAAACTTGTATTAGAATTAATAGCTGGAAGACTTTGAAATGAGTGATAACCATCTTCTTTCGCCTTCTAAGATATTGGGCACTTGCAATACCAACGTATGTTATGGTGACACTAGTATTAGTTGTTGGATTTTACATCGGCTTCAACTTCATGTCAACCCCTCCACCAACTTCGTTGAATACCATATTTGGTAAGTTGGAACTAGGTGGAACTGTCTTGTGCCCAAAAAGATACTGAAAGAAATTGCTTCATTTTTTCTTTGTTTTTAGGATTATATTCAACACTAGAAGCATTCATAACAGTGGCTAATTAAGGGAGTTATCAATCAGCAAGTTGTTGACATGTTTTACCCTTTACCCCTGGCGTGACTTTTGCTCTTATGTTTTACAGATGAATTTAGCAGAGAACCTTCAAGCTTTTTACCTGGTATGGATGGAGAGGAGCGGCTGATTGAGCCCGTTTCTTTTATTAGCATAAACAAGATCAGTGTTCTCAATTTAAATAAAAATCCAACAAGATTTAAATAGGGAAAGGTTTCACACCAGACCAAATACAAACAAATAGATAGATTCGTACTCACGGTTCTATTTTGTAAGTTCTCAACTTAGAAACTAGCAATACCCCATTCATCTTGCGCCGGACACAGTTCTATTCTATAGTACTCTCAATTCAGAAACTAACAAACCCCATTCATCTTCTTCCTGTCCATTACTAACTTCCTCCAGGCCGTAGTGATTTCCCTTGTAGTCTCCATAGCAGTCTTCTTTATCTTTCCATTTTCCTCAATTGACATCTTTGCCTTGACCTTTGCTGGCAGAGTGTCGAGCTCGAGCAAAACCTTCTCAATATCTATGACAAGGCGCTCAGCAAGTGTACGGGAGAAGTCCTCTCTTATGACCACACGGAGCACTGTCACATGCTGGGCATCAGGTGGCATGGTGTATGCTGGCACAATCCACCCAAAGCGCCGCAGCATGTCAGATATCTCAAACTCGTCGTGGCAGCTGTTGTCCTTGAGAGAGAATGCCACCAGAGGCACCCCATTGTCCTTCGAAACAATGTTAAAGCGGCCAATCTTCTCCAGTCCTTGTTTCAACACCAACATATTATCTCGGCAATTTTCCATAACATTTTGGTAACCCTGTGAATATGGTTAGTATCAGAAAGTAGTCACAAGGATTATTGTCAAGTCAAGCTAATATATTGAGCAAGCTCACCTCATAACCCAAGCGAATGAGTTGGTAGTACTGAGCAATAACTTGACTAGAACCTTTGGAGAAGTTGAGAGTGAAGGTGGGTTGATCAGCACCAAGATAGTTGATATGGAAAATCAACTCTTCAGGCAAATCCTCCTTGCTTCTCCAAATCACCCAACCAATGCCAGCATACACGAGCCCATACTTGTGTCCACTTACGTTAATGCTCTTCACCAATGGCAACCGGAAATCCCATTCCAGCTCGGGATACAGAAATGGAGCAATGAAGCCACCACTGGCTGCATCAACATGGATGGGTGTATCCCACCCTGTCTGCTTGTTCTTCTCTATCAAAAGATCGTTCAAGAGCTTCACGTCTTCAAATTCTCCGTTGAGAGTGGAACCCAGAATGGCCGCGACGCAAATGGTGTTCTCATCCACCATTTCCACTGCCTTGACAGGATCCATCACGTAGTAACCATCTCTCAACTTCACCTCCTTGAGCTCCACCTCAAAGTACCTTGCGAATTTCTCCCAGCATACTTGAACATTGGCCCCAGTGACGATATTGGGCTTGTCGTAGGGCTTCCCCTCTGCCTTTCTCTTGTTCTGCCACCTCCTCTTGAATGCCAAACCCGCCAACATGATAGCCTCGGAAGATCCCACCGTCCCAACTCCAACGGCTGTCTCCGATTCTCCCAGCGGTGCGTTAAAGAGATGTGCAATCATGTTTACGCAACGATTCTGTTTGATTTCACCCCGTTATATATGTGAATGAAATATTTAAAGAAATCAAATTATTTATATTTTTAGTAAATATAAAGGTTAATATAACATGAATTGAATTAAAAGATCTTAGGCATGAGGTAGAAAATTTTACTTGCTGATCACCATTGTTATTTAATATAATTCATATTTTGTAGTACTCATTTTTTTTTTAATTTTAGTTATACAATAAAAGATAACTCTTTTATATTCTTATTTTATTCTACTCGCATATTGTATAACTTAAACTTAAAATTTCTTATTTTCAAAAGAAATAAATTACAACAAAATTATTTAGGTCGGTAACTCATAACTCATTATAAAATCTTGGTTTGTGGTCTATTAATATTAGATTAGAAATTCAACTTTCAACAATAGTATTGAGTAGGTAACATTTTACGTTGTCCAACCCATTTTAGTTATCACACTTTCAAACTTCGTAAGCATAGTTGTTTTTGTACAAAAGACAAAGGATGCACTCTGTATATATTGTTGCAAGAAAAATTCAACACTAATGGAGCGAGGGAAGCGTACCAAAATTAGGACTTATGAGGTGTAGCCCTAAACATTGATGCTGATGATGCATTTTGTCGGTGGTAATTTTAGATTAGATCAACATTTGCGCAGCAATGAACGGCAGCCAGATAAAGGAAAATGCTTTACTCTAGTCTGGCGTGATTACCGCTGAATTTTACGAACATTCA